CAAGTTCGTTGGGTTGGGTGCTGGCAATCAACGGTTTGCTCCACGTCGCACCCTTGCGTAGAGACAGTCTCTGGTTTAAATTATTTTGATAAGAAGTTGACTTACAAGATTGAGATGCATTTTGATTTCGTTTCTTATAGCAAGATGTTATTGAATGTCCAGTTTTCTTGCAAAAACTACATCTAATCTCATTCCGTTTAAGACCGGAAAATTTATTTGTTTGTAAAGAACAATTATCACATTCATGCTCACAGCTACCACGATTAAAACTTCTCTGTTCATTCGCATTTACCGTAAACATTCTTGATTTGTTAACAGGAAATTTTGAGTTTTCACCATCATTTTTTAATTCTACTTGACGCTCTAATTTAGAAGCCATTTTAATAGCAATTCTTAAATCATTAATATTATCTTTTGAAATCAATAACATAATAGTATCATTGCATAACCCTCTTAAAAATCCAGATATCGCTTCCTCTACGAGTAAAGATTTTATTCCAATCAACTGTTCAGCGTTAAATTTTTCTCGCGCCGCTTCTAATCCTTGATCTAAAATTTCATGTACTCTAGTCCCAAATTCTTCAATAGTTTCATAATCTTTTCGTCTTATTATTTTTAATTCTTCCTGCGCGACTTTAATATCAAAACTTAATTCATATGCATTTTTAATTAATTTTATCAAATCTTCTACGCTTTTTGGTTCCACAGTTCCAACTATTCTACTGTAATCACGCTTCTGTATTCTATTCCGAATTAAAGTCAATAAATAAAATTTATCATCCAGCCCAACTAATGAATCGGCTAGTCTTAATTGACTAACGAAATTAGTTACAGAACTAGATTTCCCGTCAAAATGTGGAATGAAGCTCGAGATGAAATCGAACGATATTCGCAACGTGCCTTTCCGAGATCTACAGGATGAACAAGACGAGTTCATGTCCATTGCACTACCAACAGAAGTAGATCTAGAATCTGATACAGACATATTAGATTCACGAGGTGAAGAAGATGAGTTCTGCATCACACTCAGATCTCTTATTTGCGATACACAAGAAACTGATTCCACACCATGCGTTTCTGTCACTAGTTCCTCCACTTCGAAAGAACCACTACAATTCAAGCTTGTTTTTCGAACTTTCTTAGCCCTTTTGAATTTTTTTTGCAAATGGCGGCATTTTCGGAATATAAATATATTAACAACGTTATGTGACGAACAACTTAATATATATATTAAATTCGAATAAACACAATTATTAAAACTAATACAACACGCGTTGAACAATTAGAAATTTTTAAAATTGAAACGTCTCACGAATCTCTATCAGCGTGTGGTCTTCGGGGAAGATGAGCTTTCACGAATCTCCATCAGCGTGTGGTTTTCGGGGAAGATGAGCTTTCAGCGGCCACCGAAAATCACTCCTCTTCGGTATTCACCCAGGCTCTTGGGAAAACCGCTCAAAACCCAAGAGAAAGAGGATGCTGATTCGACGAAGTCCCAGTGATTCAAAATGTTCCTTGTGAGCCGGCGAGCCAAGTTGAGGATGTATAAACTTTAGCGTATCCCACCGCTGTCACCAAATTTGTTGCGGCCTTTTCCAGGGATTTATTTTTCAAGAAAAATATCAGACGTGAATCCTCGCCCGTGGAGTTCTAAAGAACTCTGCTCGTAAGAATATCTTTTGACTTCCTTTTTTAAAAGAGACAACTTTATTTAAAGAATACGTGTTTATTTATTGAAGGTCAATATTGGAATGGACTCCTTTACAAAACGATCGTTTTTTTTACATTTTGTTAATTACAATATGTCCTTAGATACCAGGAGCCAATAAAATAATTATTAAATTATGAAATAATTCCTGATTTGTTAATACATTTCTTCTAGCTATTCATTTTATAATGTTCAAGCGTTTAACATATTTGCCATGATTTAATATATTTTAGAGAAGGAGTAAAAGTGAAATTCGACTGTTAAAATATAATATAGATTAAATATAACTTCACTTCTATCTCCTTTTCTAATTACAATCATATATCTTAATTTGAATTTCACGCTTGTGAAGCTTACGCTAGACGCCGTTACAAGGTGAGGGCGAGATTCACAACAGTACTAATCGATTTGCAATTCTATGAAACTAAATATCCGTTAACATTAATACCTCTGCTAAGAATGAATTGGTACTCTGTTGCAGTCAAATAAACACAACTATAGACAGAATTCAATGTGCCAGTACCGGCAGTTTTTCGCGAATATCTCAGAACCTAAGCAACTCCCCCCATTGTATGTATAGAAAAAAGTTATTTAAAATTTCGGGTTGTACAATATATCCAAAAATTATCGAAATCGGAGGGTAGGCAGCTTTTCTGCAGTTCGACCCACTCTGGAATGCGTGTGTATAGTCTCAAGGGAACTACTTTAAGGGTAATGGATGGCCCCACACCTGTTTAATTTTATCAAAATAAAGTTTCACGCATCGCAACACATATCGTTAAAATTACAGTATATACATATAAAAAATGCAGAGACTTCAAAAACAACATAGATTTTGTTTACTTAAATGGACGCATTTCACTTCTTACGTAATGTAACTCTTATATGTATAATTTAATAACGCATGTACTAATTGTCCTGACAGTTTTAAATCTCTCGACAGTCCACTCAAGACAGTTTGTTTAAATAAATGCCATCAGTTGGTAAAAACCGACCATCTTGTTCGTTACATTGTGAGACGAGCCATGTCTTAATACAGTCTACTCTGTGTGATCTCACAGTGTTCGTAACGATATGCTCCATACAAAGTAATAATATACCAACATTATTATAAAATTTTGTTATTAATTTTCCACCTTCGTAAATTTTAAGTACAATGGCTTCGTGGGTGACAGTATAAAGGAGAACCGATGGAGTTCGTAGGGTATCGGTGTCTTTTCGCAAACTTCAACCTTGGTGTTAAGCAGGATCTTTATCAAACCAATTTTGGTCTGATAGACGGCAAACCGGGCACCTACAAGAAAGAAAAAACATTACTAATGAATGTGATAATAGCGTATTTTAGTGTCAGGATATGTGTAGTGAGAAACACCAAATATTTAAGATATTTTAAGTCGAAAGAGTTATTGAATTTATAATTTGACCTGTTAACCGGTCATTTTCTGGCCACCAATGTTTATCAATTCATACTTGTACACATATTCTAATAGAATTAGATTTATAACTCTTTGGGTTGTTACGTATGGAGAATAATTTTCTTTCTTTAATCATTTCCGACCGTGCGCCTTGTAACGAAAAACGCCCTAGAGCCCGTTTGTGCATTTCTCAAGTAATAGGATTTGCATTATCTCCACTAACTGGATAGCAACCAGAGGCAGAAGCATGACACAGTCACGACTGTTAAAGACCTCTCATATGGTAATCCTAATAAAACTTCCACTCCGTTTTGGGACTATGTTTTCCCTCCGATTTTAACCCTTGGTAGGTTAGACTAGTACAGTTACTCGTGTCACGAGATATTACATTTATAAAGAGTCGGTTGCATTCAGAAGAATTTGTTAAGTAAACTATGTATAATTTCTCAACTGAATGCATCCTAATCTAAAGTACTATTAGTATTTCTAAATTTATCATTGATTGAGTATATAAAATACGTCATATGTGATATGTAAATACAGGAGGAGCGTCTCACTCCTTTTTGTAACTTTTACTATTCACTAGAAAAATTACCCAGATGTTAAATTATTATAGTTTCTGAAAAATACAGGATGAAAATTGTAGGACTCCACTTTCTAAGAACTGAAATACTTATCACTCGCCCGGCAAATTCAATACCTACCTGCTAAAATATAGCATCAATGTTTTGCATAAATAGCTCTGAAAAGGGATGTAAGTAACTTTGTTCTTGTAATTTTTGCGAATTTTTAGATTCGTTTTGATTCACGTAAATAAAATTGAACAAGAAATAAAAAACTTCTACATGGGATTTCTGTTTACCTGGAACAAAGTGTCCACGCAATTGATCGGACAACCTTTCGAGATCTTCTACGCCGCCATATTGGTGAACTGAATCTGCATGTCGCTTAAGCTCGAAAAATGGACTTTGATCCTACGTTAGTGTTTTTTGCTTCTTATCCACTCATTTTATTTACATGTTTAAAAAATACTTAAAAAGTCAAAAAAAGTATATAAACAAAATTATTTACCTACATACATATGTATATCTATTATCAACGCTATTTATTATGAACTTTGACGCTATTTTTCTGACCCATACTGAATTTGCCAGACGAGTGACACTTATATCAGTTCTTAGGAGGTCGAATCCTTCAACTTCCAAACATTATTTTTTCAAAACTAATTCATCATCTGGGTAACTTCCCTTAACAATAACTTACAAAAAAATATTGTTTATACATATAACTAACATTGCGATACAGCAATGTAACATTTACTATTAATTTACCATTCTATATTATTTTAATATTATTCTTAATTCACATCAGTGAGTACTATCCGTGACCTAGGTGTACTCATCGATTCTACTTTACTCTTTTCTGAACATATAAACCGAACGATTAACACTGCCATGAAAACCCTCGGCTGCCTTGTTAGATTTTCCTCTGAATTCAAACACATCAACACCCTCAGAATGCTATACTTCAGTTTTGTTCTTCCACACCTGGAATACGCTTCAACCATCTGGTCCCCACGTTACGATAACCATAAAAGACGACTAGAAGCTGTTGAGCACAAATTTCTTAGGTATGCTGCCTATAAACACAGTCAACCGATGTCTACCACCAATCATGACTACACTGATATTATGCGCTCACTTAATATCACTACCTTAGAACATAGAAGGATTGTCCTTGACCTAACCTATTTTCATAAAATACTCAACGGGCAAATATACTGTCCGAATATACTTGCGAGTATTAACATCAATGCTCCGATGAGAACGATTAGACACCCTCCAACATTCACACCGTTACTATATACCTCTAGATTTGATCATACCGACGTTATCACCAGATTATCAAACTTAGCTAATAAATTCTCTAACACCATAAATTTCTTTGGCAACTCTACTTCATCTTTCAAATCAAATGTACAGAAAGCTCTCCGAGGCGGTTTAGACATTTAAGCAACTTGTAAGGTTAATTATATATACTGCGACATGTGACCTATGTAAACAACTTATAGAAACAATGGGGCCAACCCGTTTATAAATAAATAAATAAATAAATAAATAAATAAATAAATATTATTTTCTATATTAATCTGAACGTACCGATACAATTTCGTGGACCATCGCCGAATGGAAGAAAATGCATCGGGTGTCTAGCCTTTTTCGCAGCTACGTCGAATCTTTCAGGATCGAATTTCTCTGGATCTGGATAAATCTCTGGATCCCTTTGAATAGCGAATGTCGATATGAATAGTTCCGTCCCTTTTGGAATTGATACTTTTGTTCCGCTAAACGTATAATTGTCGGTCGCGACTCTCGTTAAGAAATGCAGTGGTGGATACTTCCTCAGCGTTTCTGTAAGAGAAAAATATAGGTTAAACACATCAATGAACTCTTAAGAGATTTTGTAACTATTGAAGTCAAATGTTAAATGACAATAATATTAATAAATATTTGACATATGAAAGTTAGATTTTTTAATATCTATAACTTCTCACAAAATGTATGAATTACAATTTGAAAAATAAGAAGAATGCAATTAATTAAATTAAAAAGAAAGAATACAAATTTCACCAGTGAAGGAACAATATTAAGTAAATAAACATTTCTAACCAATGGTGTGAAAATTTTTTCAACGTGACACAAGAAATTGAAAAAAATCAATATTTAATGATTCGCTTATTTTAATAACTTAATTTACTTGTTTTTATATATAATGTTCATTCACTGTAATGTTATATAGAAAGGAGCTTAATAACTGACTGAATAAATGTTTAACAATTTCTGCATGTTGCCTGTTCCATTACTTTAAATGTACTTAAATAATTAATGAAGATTAATGGACTGTGGATGTTTGTGCAATTTAAGAGTTTCTATACTAACTTGATAAAAACGGAAATTTGTTTCGTTGTTTGATTAATCCTAAGCAAGATTTTTATTATATGTATTGTAGGTAGTTTGGACATTGATTAATTGTAAATGTGTAAAATATGCAGACTGCTAATTATTGCCGACAGAAATTGTTTATAATATCTAAAGAATAATCTGGTAAAATATCAAACAATTTACATTCTTTAAAAGAATTCTTAGTATATGAAATTAATGCCACTAATCTTTACTGCTAATAATTATTTATTTCCAGCATGCAGTTAATTGAATATTTATAACTGAACTGAAGTGAAATTAAAAAAATAGGAAATGTAAAAAAATCCAGTTTAAAGTATTTTATATGTACATATATTCTTCGTTAAGACCTACCATTAAAAACTTTGTCCAAATATTCCATTTCCTTTAGAACCTCGTATTTCCAATTCCCATCATTTCTCGAGTTAAACTCTACAATTTCTTGTCGTAACTTGTTCTGTATATCCGGATTCAGAGCTAACTCATAGAGAGCGTGGCTGATGGTGGTGGACGAAGTCTCAAAGCCAGCTGCGAAGAAAACGAATGCTTGTGCTGCTAGAAGGGTATCCGTCAGTTCTGAAAAATACATACCCCCGTATCAATATATCACAATGACAGTACGTACATTCCCGCTCATAAACATTAGAACACTCATCGAATATACAGTAAATATTACAGAGAATTACGTAATTACTAAAAATCTGAAATAAGTTTTCTTTAGGGAATATTAAAGCTCGATGGATAATGTTTATGAAGTAATATAAGTGATCTAAAATATACAGGGTGTCCCAACAAGATGGGACAATCTGCAACATGGATATTTCTCATGAAAATACAAATCGAAAAGTCCTTTACCATTTTGTAATTTAAAGCTCCGTTTCCGAGATATTAGCAGTTAAATGAACTTACACGTACGCACAGAACAATCAAGAAACGCACGACCCATGTCACTGGTCTCTAATTCTTGACTGTGTCGACGTACACGTGTGGCCCCCGGCTCAGCTGATCGTTAACTATTAATCAGATTGCAAAACGGTAAAGGACTTTTCGATTTGTATTTGCACGAGGAATATCCATGTTGGGGATTGTTCCATCCTTTTGGGACGCCCTGTATAATTTTTACGAAACACCACATTTTTGCATACAAACCAGGTGTCCTAATATTTATGAGCGGTGATGTGGATGCATGAGTCTATCGATACATTAATTATTCATTATTAATTCATCAATACATTAGTGAATTAATGTACCAATGTGGTAATGTGTAAACGAGTAATTAAAATTAGAATATATTAGACGGGAACACATTCACATCTGCAGTGTTATAATTTTGTACAGATGACATAGTTTACTCAAAGTGCTGTTCACAAATTATTTTATCTCTACAAACTGTAGTCTGCATCACCATATACAGGGTGTTAATAAAGATGTGGGAAACTTCCACAAGGTGAATTCTATATGCCAAACTAAGACGAAAATCAAGAATGACGAAATTGCATTCGAGGTTTCGTTTCCAAGTTATTAATTATGAAAAATAAGGGCGAAATGCTCATAAAATGCATCTGACGCAACAGGTTATTCTACTTGAGAGGCGCGCTCTTCAACTGTTTTACGAATTAGTTTCATTCATTTGATTGTATTTCATTCATTTTAGCTAGGTCAATGATTGATCCCATATATCAGCTGGGAATCCTCTGTTTTAAATAGTAAACCCAACGCGCCAGATGTAGTTCACGCGTATTTTACCCGTATTTTCAAAATTAATAACTTAGAAACAAAGTCTCCAACGAAATTTTCATCATTCTTGATTTTCGTCTTAGTTTGACGTGTAGAATCCACCCTGTGAAAATGTCCCACATTTTCATTAACACCCAGTAGAAAGCAATAATCTGAAAAAATTGTATAAATATACATACCGATTTCAGGAACTTTCTCCGGGTGCTTTCTGAGTTCTAGAAGGGTATTCATAAAATCGGGCCTAACGATGTTGTTTTTCTGCCTGTAATCCATCGTTTCGATGGTAACTTTAGTGATGAAGCGTGTAACATAGTCGTATGGTATTATGTAACCGAGCCAATCGTACAGTTTAGGGACGCACTCCTTCATTCTGAGTTTCAATAATGCCAAGAAATGCGTGGCGAAGATTTCTCGGCCAACTTGACGGAACTCGCTTTCCCTATCCGACAGAGAATTCATTTCGATCCCAAATGCACAGCTGCCGATCACGTCGGTCGTAAATTTCGCTGCTAACTCTCGGGACTCTATAGGTTCTCCTTTTTTGACCAGTGTGTCTAAGTATGTCTCCAAGTGTTCAGCGCACTTGAGAATAAGGAAGAAAGTTCCCCTCAACTTGCCAGATGTAAATACGGGCGACAATTGTGTTCTCAGTGGCCGCCATCTTTTCGATTCCAGAGAGAACAGATGCGCAGATAACGGCTCCGGCTGTAGTCAATACAAGATACGTTTTATTTCGAGAAAATAATAATTGAAGGATGAGGGTAGGATACAAGGTATGTCACAAAACAGACAAAATTTGTAAAAAAAAAGAAATAATTCCGAGAAAATCAATTTTTAATACTTTAGAATACCATTGTTTTTAACAAGGACATCATACCTTTAGCAGTATCTTATGTAGACATTCCTATTTTGTAACCCCATGTGATTCCTCAGGTCTGAACCGTAGACCTTCGGTTATTAAAATGCCGATAATCGGGAACCTTATTCGTTCAAAATATGTATGTAGCCACAGTTCTGACTGTTATCGACTGAGCCCGTGAATTAGCTGAGAAACGCCCGTTTCGTGTGGAATAACCCGTCGTGCTAGATGTATTTCACCCGTATTTTCGACAATTAAAGCAGATTCACACTAACACTCAAAAGTACGGTCAGATCACGAATTTAAACTAAGTACAGAGCTCTCTCGTGTGAAACGTTTTTTGGCCGAAGCTCGATGGCATTCGCCTTTGTAGTATTCCGAACGTAGAAAAGGACAAGCCAGTAAAAAACAGAGAGGAAGCTTCTGTTTCCAGTTGACTCGACTGCGTGGCCCGCCTGCAACGCTCTCGCCAACCAATGGTTACAGTATAGCCGACCACACAGTCCGATTGTGCGTGTACCATTATCGCCAATAATAAAAATACGTATCACTGGAGGTGACTCGGCTACATTTAATTCATCGACAGCTCTCTGGGCAGTCGCTGACGATTGAATGTTTCGACTAATCGTCGTACATTCCCCCGCTCCGTCCGTCGAATCCATCGAGCGTGTACATTGTTGCCGAGCGCGCGAAACAATGCTAATTCAGCGATGAAACTTTTTTATTTTTGATTCGTTGTTAATGAAACTTTTACTCGTGTATTGGTGAGGTTTTTCCGATTAAAATTATACCCAATACGGCATAATTTGAATAATATTTACTCATGTAGATAATGTTGATAGTTCATATTCGTTCATTATCGCTTCTCATAAATCAAAAGTAAATATGATCCAAATTGTGTCGTGTTTGGTATCATTTCAATCAGAAAAATCTCATCAACATGTTCATAAAAGTTTCAATAATAAACAACCAAATATAAAAAAGTTTTATCGTTGCATTAGTATTGTCTCACAGATACCCGGGAATGTAATCTTTTTGTCGGCTCTCAACGTTGAGGCGTCGGCTTGTGAACAGGAGAGCCGCCTCGGCGCGTCGCGGGAACAAAGTATGTGGTTGTCGAGTTCCACCCCCCCCCCCCCCCCCCCCCGCCCCAGTGATAGGGATGACGCCAGCACAATAATCGCATATGAACAAAGATTCAATAATCGCGAGAGATTTGTATATCTGTTTCATTGGATCACGTGTTAATGATAAACATCGGTGACTAATTTGACGTGATCTCACTGTACCGTGACCGCTGGTGTAAACAAAACCTAATAGCTCCGAAACGAAGCCTTTCAAGCAACTTTTGATCTTGAATGGTAGAATCACCGCCTAAAGTTTCTGACACCAGAAATCGTATGATATTAAAATGGCTAAAGGAGCATCATATCTCTTTACGAGCAGTCTTTCCAACGGCTGGTGACTACCACCCTCGATGACGAAAGTGAGGTGTAACGGACCCAGAGGCATTATTCGAGTGAAACTTTTTTCTAATAAAAGTTTAAATACATTGTTCGAATAACATTGTATTCGAATAATCCTTGAATAAAAGTTGCGAATAAAATGAATATTGTTTGCTTCGTATAAATCGGCGAAGATCGTCGGCACGCACAATTAGGCGTTATGCATCGCTGAGTTATTTCGAATACCGGATAACGCTTTATTCGTTACTACCGAATAATTTTTCGCCGATACAATCATTACCCGTTACATGCGAATAAGTTCAGGGACTTTATTCGTTTTTCTTTATTTGTCATTCGAAATAAAATTTGCCCGCCTCTTCTTAAAGGAGTCATGCAGTTAGTAGATCCGTTAATGACTGCGCCATGTTTTCAGGCTTACGATACAGCTAGCCCTATTAAGTATGGAATTCAAGAATCTATAAACGCACGTGTTTACCAGAACTGAATAGCAATGACGTCTAAGCTCTTAAACTTGTGTAAATACATTGAGTAGCTGCAAACGCTGTTTGTAATAATCGTAACTCGCCGCGTAATCGGCAATTATCGTGCCGAATTCGACCATCCTCGCCGGAGACTAACAATAAGTGTTCCGTCGCGGGTAATCATAATGCCGAAACCTGTGGGCCACCTCGTACAGTTACAACGCCGTCCTTCTGTAGCCACTGCCAGGTCTTGGCCTAGCAGTGTGCTCTCTCTCACACTGAAAGGATCGTTGCTGTGTGGGGTGCCCACGGGACAGCGAACACCAGTTTTTATACTATTAACTGCCTAATTACCCGCGACGAACCTTTGTCTCTGTCTATTCGTAACGAACGTCGAGATCGAAACGTGCGATTCAGCAGAAGGGTGCTCCCTATCATTTTAATACTTTTATTTCCGGCGCTACGGAATTTATAATTGTATTTATACGTTTCTCGATGCTCCGAAGTAGTGTTTTGTACTCGTTATCGTCTTTATTTCGTTAATTTATTTGTGTGCATTTGACGCTAACAATAAACTGTTAATGTTCCTCAAAATCAAGAAGGTTCTCCTTCAAAACTCTTTCTTCGAGCCTAATCTCGAACAGTACCTGAATCCCATTGCCAGAGTATATTAAGTCACACTTACTAAACTTTAGAGGACATCGAATCAACGATGTAAAAACCTTGTTAATTTGAAACACTTCGATAAGATTTCAACGAGGAACAATCGCTACCTTCGAACTACTGAATGCACTTAAAACAAATGTAGGTAAGTAGAAATGGTGAACATTGGATTAAGTCCCCTATGTGATGGACTTTAGAGTGTTTGCCTCGGAAAAAAATATAGACTTACTTTCATTTCTACACTATTGCATTAAAAACTGAACGACTTAGAACGAAATAATGTTTACCATAGGAAGGAGTACAACATTTGATACGGGAAAGATGTAAAATGTCATTCTTCAAAAAAAGTTAACTTAATATAGTATGGATCTGGGGTTCAGATATTAGTATATAAGTTAGTGTTTGCTGGACTACTGCTAAATGTGTCATAGCCAGGAAACATTAGTAGAAAAAACAGTACCAAAAGTTTTTTTTTATTTATTGTACTTACTATTTCGTGTAGGAAGGCTCCACGATCGGCGAACGTCGTGAAATCTTTAATGAAGACGTGTTTGATCAGCTCTGGATCTTGAATCATAAGAGTAGGCTTTCTCATCGTAAATACGCCGACCAGCGGTTCGCCTTTGTATTTTTTCCGCATTTCCACCGCAAATTCGGTGATCGATTGCAGCCCGAGCATGTGTCGCATGACATTACCGAAAACGGGTACAGGCTTTGGTCCTGGTACGCCCCTCTCAATCCAGAAAGTAAAATGTGCTGTGAAATAGTAGTACAGTGCAACAATCACTGCAGTGACACCGAAAAAAATCTCCAAGTAGATAGCCATCTTTGGTTCACGGTTTATCTGGCATCAAAAGTTACTCAATGGCGTTCTATAAAAGACAAACAATAATTTATTGTATCGATGCAGCTGTTTAAAAACCTGTATGATTAAAGAATTATATCAACAGAAGATTTACAGTATCTTCTGCGTAGACCAGGAGTGGGGTGGGCAAGTTCTTCGATAATAAGAACCATATTATAATACATTTCATACATTTTTGAACGTTTAAGGCCGTAGAATGAAAATATTCTCATAGTGGTACGTACATACAACACTGTTATAGATTATTAATATAAAGGGTGAGTCTCATAACGTGACAACTTCAAATAACTCGTAAGTTATTTGTTGTACAAAAAAATCTTTCAAACAAATATTGCATGGTTTCCAGGAGGACATACAATGCTGCAATCTGTTTTTTGTTACCTTGCTTTTTTATCGAGATATAAAGGTCATCTTCAGTTTTTTAAATGGAATGCCTAATATCTTTTATGCCAAAATATCGAAGAGCGTTAAATTTTGTGTGAAAAAATACTGGTCTTTATTCGCCGTAAACCTAATAATTAACGAATAATTTCACTTTGTTTCTTGAAAATGGTCTGTGCGTAATATCAAGTTGGAGATTCAGTACCAGCAAAGATTTAGGGAAACCACGGCATTTACGTAACAATGTTTATTAACATGACCGATTCTGCATATGGAATCGTAATCGCCTATTCTGTCCGTGATTCAGTATCGAAGTTACCATCAGTGTTGTTTAAACGTGACTATCTCAGTAATAGTAATACACATAAATTTGTGGCTAAAAAAACACTTTTTGTGGAAAAACAGTCTAAAAGTTAATAGCTTTATCACACTGTACTAACCTTGAAGCTTTCCTCAAAAGTTTCAACTCGTTTCGAATCCACGGTGTAATTCGGAGATACATCAACAAACGTGGTCTCGAAAAGTCTGTCAAATATCTTATTTGGCACGTGATATAAACTTCCATCATTTCGAGCCGAGAGATGATTGCTGAGTCACAAGTACGTATACGTAATCTTCTTGAGACCCATACTATGAGACCGCAAAAATTAAGTTGGAGTGGGGTAGATAACAATGATCTTTTGTCGACTTTCTGGCAGACAATTATGCATCGATGCTTCTGGTAGTTTATTTATCTCTAACAAGATATTATTGAAAATTTGTCAAAAGTAATGAGTAATGGAAAGACACGATGCCCAATCTTGAAACTCGATTTCCTCGAAAACAAAGCCTCGCACAAAAATATTTTATTCTATATCATATTCTTACTTTTTCATGTAGAATCACCCACCTACCGGTTGTACTACGACTTCCGGCCCACTCTGCATAATCGGACGACTCGAAGAAGGCTCAAAAGAAACTATTTTGAAGCTGTAAAGCCAGTATTCTTTGAAAGAACGCAAATACAAAAAACTTTCGAGCTACGTTTGAACACAGTGGAGGAAATGTTATGGACTGGTACTATATGTATATCGATCGGACAAACATACATATTTTAACATTCTAAAGGAAAGTTTAATACAAATTGTAGTTAAAATGGGTATGCAAAGAACTTGTAGATCTTACCAGGATAACGAAACCAAAACCACGAATCATACAGATAGGTATATGTATATACCTGCGTTATCATTGTTCGACAGTCTTAATTCCCTACTCAATCTCGATATCTAAACTCCATTAACAATTTATGGCATGGGGGAAGGGAGAGGGGGTATGACGAGGTAGCGAGTTAAGATGGGGTATCGTACTTAATCAAACGATAACTGAAAGATACTAGACATGCGACGAATACACCAATAGGAAGCTATTATGTTATAACAATTGGGTCGCTGACAACAATGAGTGGGGTAACATGGGTCTTTCGTTTATAGCTGTGAAAGTCGTGAAACTGTTCGCGTGGCTACGTCGATCTTATTTTGAGTGACAGAAATTTATAATACATATATATTTAAGAACGGCAAGTCCACTGCATTTCTTGTATTATTAAAAATTAAAATATTTTTTTATTTGTTGCACAAATATATTCATTTCTGGAAAACGATGGTTTGAGGCAAAATGGGGCCTTTGATATGGGGAATAATGGGGTACATCATTGTTGAGTGTTACGCTAAGGTTTCGAATAATAACAAGTAATTAAAGATAACTGACAATTGTATACAGGGTGTCCCAAAAATGTCCTCCGACCCGGAAATGGGGCACTCGGGGGGTGAATTGGAACAACTTTTTCCTTAACAACAATGTAATCTGAGGCTTCGTTACCGAGATATTAACAAAAAACCACGACCAATCAGAGTATTGTATATGTATATTGAGATGTATATGTACATTTAAAACCGCGAAGGTTTTGCCTATAATAAACGTGTTCTTAATGTGAGGTAGACGCAAAGACTGAGCCCCTGCGTCTTCTCTACATAGTTTCCTGGACGCCACGTCGAAGGTAACAATAAATGTAATGAATAATAATAAAAATAATAATAATAGTATGTAATTCCGAAAAAATACATATTTGCATCCACTATGAGAAAATATAGGCAAACCATCTTGCCCTAATTTCAATACCCCGTTTTACCCTGTCGCAGGGACCAGACTGTTTTTCTCTCACTTTTTGTTACAGCTTAATAACTTAAAAGTTTCATTTTACATTGTCCAAAGCATGTGTCAAATATTAGACTGTTAACTTATAATTGTATTCTGATTCATTAATACTTAATTAAGAGGTACAATGAATCATTTTATTTACATTTTTCCTTAGCTTCCCCATCATGCGGCCTATTCCCCTAATCGGAATCGTAAAACAAGGGTAACACCGATAAATACGATAAAAGAAACAAGTCCGAGATGTCTTTAGAAAATTATTTTCAGTATGCTTAAACAATTGAAATGCGTGGTAAAACAGAATTATAAGGCCACTAAATATTAAAAACATAAACATTAATTATAAACTATGTAAAAAGTATAGCTTTTGTACGTGTCCGAATATTTTTGTAACTTGACAATTGGGTATGATCATATTTGTATAATTATTTCCAATTAGTTCAATAAACTATACACGTTTGTAAACTACAATAAATAATCTATTAAAACAAACAATTTCGAGTGCATTCCCTTCAGAATTATTAAAGATATACGGCGTCAAAATTAAACGTACTTACTTAGTGTTCGAATATTTTAGGGATTCACTGTTATGTGTCCTTTCGTATAAAATTATATTAATATAAATAAAGATAGAAAGCAATCTGGTTCACGCCGATCTGACCTCAAATCATGTACGAAATTAAAAGTCGAACAGACTTAAAATATTAAGTGTCTACACCTAATATTGTGTGAGCAACCCGAAATTTTCGGACCGAGTCGGATGAAATCGGGTCGGATCGATTCGGGATATCGACATTATTATACTACGACTTCAAAATCGGTTATTTACCGTTATTTATAAAATTACAGGTATGTTCAAGTCGGATTAATCCCTTCAGTGGCACATTTCTCTGCTGAACAAAACATTAAAATTATAGATCATCTAGAGTCTAGAGTCTAGAGATTTTTCGGGGCGCTGATTATGATTCTATGGTCAGAATTACAAAATTCAAGATTTTTCGTTCATTTTGCACGAGTCTGCTTATACCATTTTTTTGGTTCGCTGGTAACTCTTTTCAGGTCAAAATTACAAAACGTAAAATGGGGACATTATAACCTAATATATTATATGTAACATAACAATATAACATTTCTGATGATAGTTTAAGCTGAAGGTACTTTCTTTACGACTTTAATATTCTTGTCTCTTTTTTATGGCGTAAGAAAGACCGTACTATTAACATTACATGTAATGATATCATATGTTTATTAAAAATATAAAAATTATTAACAAGGAAATGTTTCATGTACTATAAAACATTGAGCTTTTTCTGATAATATAACAATCACACACACATTCGAATCAAATTTTAAGACATTGGAATACAGAGGTAGCGTACGTAGTCTCCCTAGTTGTATTAATGAGTATATACATATACATATGTATTCTTATTTGGAAGAACCGTTTCTAACTTTTTAAGAAAATGAGTATACATATATTAGGTCGTTGCACATGAAATGAGTAATATTACTGGCGTATAGGTACATTTGACGTTACTTTTATAAATGAAATTAAGTAGTATCTAACATAACAATAAATACAAATATGTTAAACACTAAAGTTAATTAAGGTAAAGAATCAATCTCACTTCAATTCGGCTATTGCCTCCACGTGCATTAAAAAGTAGACATTTAAATCAAATTCATACATAAACTTTGAAAAGTTGAATGTAAATTTTTGCTAAAAAATATTAGTTAGCGATGACAACATCCGCCGGAAAGATGGTAGCTCAAAGTGTCTTTCAAGAGTCATCTTCAAATGCAGTATAATAATTATATAATGAATATAACAAAAATATTACACTTATATTTTAATGAAAAAAAGCGTACAGAGTCTATGTAATCTTACTTTAAAGTTCAATATAATATTAAGTGGTACATAACGATCATTTCATGTGCAATCAACCTAATACACATATAACATCTATCGTCCGTAGTATGTTATAATTGACCGAAAATAAAATGGGAAATGTTAGATTTATAAGTGACTTCGAAAAAGTTATGGTAGAATGTCTTGAACAAAATTATATAGATATTCAAACACAGTGGCTGCCATAAGTTTCCGGCCAAACTGTAATTTCTATATGTCTTTTTCAAAATATATACCTAATACGAATACACTCTTGATATATCCACATTGAGGATACATTGCTACTTCAGATCTGGTGATATTAAAAATTTTCTGACATACAAATAATTTAGTCTTCTGTTGTTAACAGATGCGGGCCTAACAAAAGTTATGACAAAAATATGGTGAAATTACAGTTTGGCCGGAAACTTTTGGCAGCCACTATATGTGTCCGTAATTTTGTAACTATAACAACCTTACAAAAGGTATGTAGTAAACACGCTATTTAAAATACTAAAAAAAGGTATGAGAATTAGAACAATGCTTCCACTCTAGTTTTTCATACTTCTCTCACCAACAGAAAGATAATGATGAAAGAAATGTTCGAATATTTATTTCAATACATTTAGGTGATTGAACACTTCCTCCAATTATTCATTCATCTTTCATTTCCTATATGTGTACAATAAGTTATATTAATATGTATTTTACTTTAGTAAGATAAGTTGTATGAAACTTTTTATCCCACTTCGTTTAACATTAACAAAACCATTTTTGTTCTACAGATATTTACCTCGTTGAATCAAATACTTTTGCTGGAATTAATACAATATGTATTAATTATCTGTAGATTTACATTAATTTACTAACATTTTGAGTCTAAACGTCAGACACTATCTGTACCTGGAAAGCGTATGTTGAAGTGCAAAACGTTAACATAACAAACTATAATGTCAATCCTTAGTTTTCGTTACTTTTAAAACTATCCCATGCTTTGGAGCGAGTAAAAAGGCGCGCGGGTTAATTACATATGGAATTACAGTTTCTTTGCAAACATCGACTTTGTAGTTACGAAGAATCTTTATCAGTCCAATTTTCGATTGAAAGATCGCAAAACGTGCACCTGCAACAAAATTTTATATTTTCTATCATATTTAATTTTTTATAAACTAAGCTTAATGTCTATTATGTAAATTTAATAGTCAAAAATATATAAACATTGTATAAAACAGTGCATTAAAGTTACAATATTGGTATCATTCTTCACGGTTGCTTCTCATTTTTATTTTAAATAAATATTCTATATTAAACATTCCCTCTGTTTTTGTAAATTTCTCTTTTCAGGGAGAAAATCACACAATTAGACAAGTTGTACCTTTTTTTGATTCTACAAGGTTTTAAAGGTATCAGATTTGAGCTGTCAAAGAATACTGTAACGAAGACCCTGTTTTGTACATAACTTTGTACGTTAATTTAATACTTACTATGCACTCCTACAGTGTAAATTAGCCATTTCGTATATTAAAATACGATGAAAATTGTAAGAAATTCTAATTAATTCATCGACACAATAGAAACATATAATGAAAAAAGAGCAAAGCAGTAAACAAAATAATATGGAAGTAATTCCTTAAAAAAAGGAACAAAATAATTATTTCATACTTCTATGTTAACATTCCTAAACTATTTATAATTACCCATAAAAATTCATGTTTTGTATTAGTATACAATAATTTATCTTCCTACAATTTCCTGATATTTTTGTTAAAGCATTGAACGATTGTCAAAAATCTAAATGAATTCTATAAATATAAAATAAAGAAAAACTACATAAATTGACCAACATAATTGAGTAAATTAATTTCTTGTTTAATAACGAACGAATAAAATTGATCATCTCAACAAGTATTACATTAGCGAGATATGCTTACTAACAATAAAACGATCTTCTTCCTTTAGTATATTTTAGCGAGCGATTAAGTATATGTATACTACGGGACGCACCGCGCAGAATACTAATTTTTATAAAAAATTATTTTTCGACCTGGCTCAATTACGAATGGTGTCCGTATTATAGAGGGTTAACTATATTTTGAAGAACTAAGAACACTATTCATACAACACCTGAAATCATGTTTTGTTTATGAAGTTCAACTCCGATATTATTATATTATTAGGAGAAATTAAAACATTTTTACTTTAAACTATTTCAGCTATTAAACTTCGTATTATAATATTGAACCTGACAATTTAGACATGATTCTTCTAACAGTCTAAGTCTCAGTGAAAGTGCTAAAAAGTTGCACCTGTATGTACGCAAGTCAAGATAGATAATATGCTTTTATAGAATAAAAAAAATATATATATAATAAATATTATGTGTTTAGTAAGACACTCCATAATAGATGCAAGAAAATTGTTTTCTCGTTTGCTCTATATTTCATTGATTCTTAATTATTTCATAAAAAACTTTTTGGGAGTTTTGGACGAATTAAACGTACTACAGAGCACAACAAACAATTATCAATTGTTTGTTATTATTTCTTAAGAACAACATGCCCGCGAAGTCACTAATCTCTCTGTTATTGTGTCACTCACCCTATAATTTATTAAATGTCTTTTGTTCATTCTAACGATTATTGTATGACCTTAAAGTTTGGTACAACTATTTCCAACACCCCATATACTGTAGATACATTTCTCTCAATTCGTAATCGTAAGTAAAGATCATTCTAATAGAAGTAAGAATTTCTCACAAAATTCAATTGAAAAGGTTGTGAATAATATTTCTGTCATCTTATAGCTCATGACGATAACTATATGTATACATATAATCGTAATTATGTATTTCGGTTTTGTCCCTAAGTAAGATAGGATCACAGGAAGAATTCGACACTATTTTGATAATCACTTTGCAAATATATATCCCAAAAAGAAATTTAGCTTAAATTATTTGTGTCTCAATAACATGTAGATTTACGTTGAAAATTACCAAAAAAACAGTTTCTACGTACCAATACAGTTCCTTGGACCATCACCGAAAGGTAAATAGTGCATCGGGTGTCTCGTCGATTCTTCATCATCCGTAAATCGATTAATATCAAATACCTCGGGATTTGGATAAATATCCGGATCATGATGAATTCCATAAGAAGATATGAAAACTCTTGTGTCTTTTGGTATCGAAATTTTGAAATCTTCAAAAGTATAATCCTCGACTGATTTTCGCATTATAACAGGAACAGGTGGATATTTTCTTAATGTTTCTGTAATAATAAAAAAAATGTAACAATTTGATCAGGAATTCACCCATGAAACTGACAAGAACTTATTTTTAATCGTCCACACTTCAGTTCATTACCCGAACATCAATTTGTACACGCTTTACAGAAACTTTAATGAAAAAAAAATACGTGATTTATCTTTACTTAATTAATCGCATGTATTGTTTTTATTATCCATTAATAATGCACTGCACTGAATTTTAAATTCCAATACAAAATAATGAGATATGTACATTAAAGTGATCTGTATTTGACCACATTGCATGCCGAACTGTGAATTTTTTTTCAAAATTAAGAAAAATTCATCACGGTCGAATAATAAACATGAAATTAATAAATATACATAAATAAAAATTACATGAGAATTTTTAAAGTTAATTATTATTTCGAAATATGAGAAGGATCGTGAGAGTTACTGTATTAAAGATGAATTAGTTGAACATTAGAACCATATACGTATGTGTGTTTTTTCATATCTATATTAGAATCACTTTACTGAAACATACGTCAAATTTTTCAAAAGAACTAGTTTGCTCCACAATACGGGCCTATAAAAACGAAAACTCACGATGATTTATTAAAAATTCTTATGGTAAAATGTGCAATGAACAAAATTAAGCCTTTCTTCGATGGGAAAAAAAATATTTATGAACGATTGAGTATGGTTGTCTCGGCTAAACGAGAACACGTAAATATCTACCCTATTTACTATTGTATAAATAAAAATTTCTTGAAATAAAGTTCAAAGTATTTCAAGAAACAGGTGGTATAGCGTGAAGAATTTTTTCTCAAAATTATTTTTTATGAAATTTCAAGGTTAGTTGCGTTTTTTTAAATGAAATCCTACACTTTTTCTCGATATCATTATATGTAGAGCATAAAAAACAAATTCAACGACCGTATATAATAATCACACGTTTCTACCATTTAATTTCGAAATGTTTGCGTCTGAAGATATGTAACTACAATTTTCTAAAAATTCACAAGCAGTTAATGTTTATGTTTGGATACGACTGTACAAATGGATGTGTCTCGTGAATCTTTAAGCAATTTAACTATCTTCAAACGAGAATATCTCGAAATTATGTAACCAATCGAAATGGTATCATTAATAATGCTGTTGAATTTTTTTTTTTATGCTCTGTAAGGATATCGAAAAAAGCCGGTATAGGATTACATATTAAAAAAATACTGATGACCTAGAAATCTTGTAATAAAATAACTTTAAAAAAAATTCTTTCCGCCATTACATGTGCCCCCTGAAATACCTCAACTTTGTCCTGAGGAGTTTTTTCATACTGTATTACATAAGTTATATATGTAGGTGATCCCATTTAGCTGAGATACCCATGTGTACAGGGTAAGACACGAGAAACAGAGTAACTAAATATGTATCTCTGGTAGAATTGAAGATAGGGTAAAATGACGAAAACGGAATTGGTACGGTTCAAGTGGGCAAATCTGATGCTACAAACACATATTTAGTTTGACGTTATCTTCAAGTTAACGATTTTGTTGCGACCCAATGCAGGTAGGCGATGGTCGCAACGCTCGTCGCGTCTTGGGCCGTCGACACGGTCACCAAACCGTCATAAACAGGGATTCCTGGACAGCTGCACATCACGTGCAAACCATTCGCGGTCCTTAAGACCGTTCCTTATATTTCGGCGCTGACTTCCAGGAATCCAAGTAACAATGCATATACCAAACCCCACTTCTTCCAATTCATAGTACCACCTCTTGAACCACCTACACCAACCAAAATTCTGCATTTCTCACCAATCAAGAGTCTATCCGTTCCAGGAAGCACCTATACATTTCCTCATTCACCAGAACACATTCAACCGTCAACAAGAACACATCGATCAGTCAGAACACAAGCAGTACACGCATACACATACACCACGTTGTTAAGTTTATATTAAAATCTAAGTCTGTTAATAAGTTGTGTCAATTATTTAAAACACATAATACCAATCACCATGACATCATCTTTCAAACGAGCTCCGCGGTATTAATTTATCAACGAGCAGAGGTTAATTCGCGAGCTTATCGCGAGACGCCGCATCAATTATCACTGTTTTTTAAAATGATATCATATATTTCTAATAGCATAGAAACTGATGTCAGGACGAGTTCAATGAGATAGAATATTACGACCTTAAAATTGGATTCAAAAATTTGGAATCGATCAACGAAAGTTAGATTTTCCAAGCTATCAGGTTTAATTGATAACAATAACATGTGCACCGTTGATAGATGGTGATCTCTAAACGTATACAAACGTGACCATCAACAAAAATACGTAAAAAGTAACACATTGTTTGCCATTAAATTACAGAGATATCACATTACTTTGTCAATATACTCAAAGGAAGGAACGAACAATCGGATTTGAACTCGTCTTAACATCAGCTAATAAATTATGAAGTTAGGAATTCATCGTGACATTTAAAAAAAACACACGAACGACCTTGAAATAACCTTGAAGGTAACGTCAAAGAAAAGATCTACTTGTATTATAATATTCGCCCCTATGAACAGTACGCCTTTCCCTTTTCATATTTCGCCCTATCTTCAATACTAACGTAGCAATTTAGGTGCTCTATTTCTCGTAATTCAGCCTGTTTACATGTATATACCTGAGAAAAACTTCTAAACAATATTTGTCTGTTAATCGGGTGATGTTTTTCATCATAAAGAATATATGGCCATAATTAAAGATGAGTAACTGCGATTTAAAGCGGTAAATACCTACCACGCAGGTAAGTAGGTACGATGTGATTTACGCTACTACAAATATCATAATACAATAAGATGTGAAAATTATTGAATAAGGAAATAAGAATACTGAAAAATTATTAGAAGATACAGCTAAATGTTAACCTACGAGTTAACTAGTGTTCCTCAGTTATCGGATTGAAGTGAAATAATTTGAAATTAAACGATAATAATTAATCAAATAACTAATATTAATGATTTATATACAGGAGGTCCCAAAAAGATGGAACGATCCGCAACGTACATATTCCTCATGCGAATGCAAATCAAAAAGTCCCTTACCGTTTTGTAATTTGAAGCTCCATTTCAGAGATATTAGGCCTCTGCTTCTTGACTGTGTCTGCGCGTACGTGTGGCCCACAACTCAGCTGATTGGTGTTCGTTTAACTGCTGTTATCTCGGAAATGGAGCTTCAGGTTACAAAACGATTAGCGACTATTCGATCTGTCTTTGCATGAGGAATATGTATGTTGCGGATCATCCCATTTTTGTTGGGAGACCCTGTATATAAATTGTATAGTAGACTCTTACGATATTCCCGTAGTCGGAACTGTAGGGGAATAAAATGACAATCAGTCGAAAGCCCTCTCCGTGCTATGTTCTGTCATCACGGGCTTGGCCTTAGCGCCTGCGCAAAAGCTGGATCGTACTGCCCTGATAACCACTTGTGTACAAGTTTCGAGCAGATTGCCAGCAACTGAAGACAAAAGTTGTGTAAAACGCCGTAGCCATCGGTTTCCGTATTTGGCTTGGGTTTTGCAGGCAACGCCTACTGACAAAATGGTCAAGCAAATAGGTAACACGTCTTGCAACATAACCTGTATCAAATTGGGGACAAAAACGGAACAGAATCTGTGCGAGTCAATTTACTGCTTATGTTGCTGCCAATGTGCGTCCAAGTTGTTTATAAGCAAATCTTGCATCAAACTTGTAGCCATAACTTTATAACAGCCATTGGATGATATATGGCATTGCAGGTTTGGCTGATGGGCGTTGGCGACAGCGTACGCAACGTGGTAGTGTAGGAGAGTGATGTTGTGTGGGTGAAAGTACGTGTGACGGGCAATTTCCTCGTGTCGCAATATTCCTAGCGGCAATATCGTAAGAGTCCACTATATTACCCAGTCAGCCAAACCTGCAACGCCAAATTTTGTCTAATGTTTGTTATAAAGTTGTGGCTACGAGTTTGATGCAAGATTTGCTATAAACAAATTGCGCGCACATTGGCAGCAACATAGGCAGCAAATTGACAGCAACATATGCAGCAAATTGTGTTCCGGTTTTGCCCTCAATTTGGCATAGGTTATATTGCAACACTTTCTGCCAATTTGATTTACCATTTTGGTAAAGCTGGCGTTGTCTGCAAAACCCAAGTCAAATATGAAAACAGATGGTTATGATTTTTTAGACAACTATTGTCATTTATTACTGGCAATTTGCTCGAAACTTGTACACAACTTGTAATCAGGGTACATTAACTTAAATTTAAATGTTATATACAATACTATAGGAAGCTACGGTGAAAACGATGATAATTAACTATTAAAAAAATAAAAAATAATACACGTGGTACACACCTTTAAACACACCATCCAAAATTGGCATGTCTTTTATATTTTCATAGTGCCAATCCCCATTGTTAATTTCATGATGCTTTTTGATCTCTTCTCGCAACTTGTCTTGTATATCCTGATTCAGGGCTAGTTCGTAAAGCGCATTACTGATGGTTGTCGAGGAAGTTTCAAATCCAGCTACAAAGAAGACAAATGCTTGTGCTGCGAGCAGAGCATCTGTCAACTCTAAAAAAAGACATCAAATGTTTGCATGTGTTATTCTGTAACAATTATTCAAATACGAACAGTTTTGTCAAAGTCGGATTAAATAGTTTCGGGTAACAATCAAGGTAAATCGACTTCTATTATTTGAATGTTAAATTGTTCGAATTGTCCTTAACGGGTGGTAAATTTACCATACATATGCAAGTGTCATTTTAGTTTTCGTATAATTTTCGAGGTTACGATATAACTACAGTTATTATACTAATTGTAATGCTACGCGTGTACAGATTATTTAATTGTCGTGATGAAACAAATTTCTCAATTAAAAGATTATCCACAATTCAACGTAGGTATTTAGTATAAGAATGAACTTCAAAGAATTCGAATACTGGTTTAAAAATTTGCACACTTATTTATACATCTCTTTCCATACTACCTATATAAATACTGTTGCATAAAAATATATAATTTCTGTTTAAATATAAAATATTTGCTCTCAAATTTTCCATAACTCAGAAACCACGTTATCTATCACCTGTAATAAAAATTTTTCACGTATTTTTCTGTCTAGATTCACTCATTCAAATCCCATTGTTTATTTATGACTCATCTTACGTATATGTGAAGTGAGCTTATCTTACAAATGATAAAAGTAATAACAGACGACACAAATGATAAAGAGTAAACAGACGACCTCATTATTGAAACCTCAAACTCAAACATTGGAAACTTATAAGGAAACTAAACCTAGCCGTGCAATAGAGATTCCTTCGCCATCTTCAGCCGTCGCGGCTCATGTACATATGTATATGGAACTATTTACGTAATTTTAGAGAAATGAAACTCATAAATATTAATCATTCATCGCAATAGAATTGAAATATTATTTACCAATCAAACGACTTAATATTAAGGGATTATCATAAGAACGTAAAAAGCGAGTTGCTTTAAACGTTTTTGCGACGCAGTTTGATTGACTTGTGAAGATACTCATTCTGAAATTGAATGAAAATACTAAACAGATATAACTTTCGATTTTCAATGTAGGAACAAATTGTGATAATTGTTCAGTACTAGGATCGTTCGGGACTATAGAAGTTTCTTCTATGTTTGTACGTACAGTTTTCCCCTCTTAAATAATGCAAACTCTAGTAGGAGCTTGAGATTTTGAAGCTAATGATATTTGTTTTAGCCACATATGACCATTAGTTTATCAAATATTTAACGTTCAATGCCGAGGGGCCTTGGAACACTCATCAAGGATTTACTGTATGGCTTCCAGAATAAGTCTGGTTCACAGGCGGTCCCTGTTGTCTGTTCCAGTTAAAGATAGAGCATATTAAAACAATAATTGGTTCATTTCACCGTGGAAATAGTGTGCCCACTTGTAATAAGCGTAAGCATAAAAAGCTCCTACAAATTTACTCCTTTCTATTCTTCCAAATATAACACCACACTAAATTTCCATACCTTCAAATAACAAGAATTTCTTCCTTCTTTATTTTTATTAATAACACGATAATCGAGTAAAATGTGTGAATGACCGACCTTGAGTTAGAAATGAACAGGTATTCTTTTTGAGCATTGCGAAGATTATAAATCTTTCGAGTACCCTGATAAAATCGTACGTTCCTGCAAGTCACTTGATTTTCTAGTAATGTACCTACTCTATCTTTAAGTGAAACAAAACATATATTTCCGAATTATCCTACCACTTGCTTGGCTTGGCGGTTCTTCGGCTTTCTATTAGGTATACCAATGTAACTCACTATAGTTCCAATATGGTGGCAATATAGTTTAGATTCGGAGTTCTGTTTAGTCAAAATAGCGAAGCATGATGAGAACAAATAACGAGTATAATTAAAATAGGATAACTATTTGAATTATTTCGAAATGAATACAGAGTTTCAGAGGCGTGGACTACTTATGGGTATACCAAATATTTTATCAAAAGCAACATCTGCAAACGACAGCATGAACGCACATACTTGATATGCACGGTAAATTAAATGAGTATACTATTCTCGTTTTATTAATTTCTACCCTTCTCGGTACTCTTTTACAATTGACAATAATATTTACATACATACCGATGTCCCCCAATTTCTCTGGATGTGTCTGAAGGTCTATCAGCGTATTAATGAAATCATGTCTAACGATATTGTTCTTCTTTCTGTACTTCATCATGTCCAAAACACTGTTCATGAAGAAACTGGTCTCGTTGGTGTACGGTAACACATAACCCAGCATGGTGTATAACCACGGTAACATCTCCCTCATTCTGAATCTTATAATCTGGAGAGTGGTGGTAGCAAAGAATGCTTTTCCCACTTTACGGAACTCTGATTCTTCGTCTGACATAGCGTTCATGTTGATACCGAACGCACAACTGCCAATTACATCCGTGGTGAATTTCGCCGCCAATTCACGACAATCAAGATTCGCCTCTTTCTCCACCAATGTGCCTATGTATTTCTCGAGCGTGTCGGAGCATTCGACAATCATGGTGAACATTTCCTTGAGCTTCGCCTGTATGCAGAAACAATTCATTACATGAAATTTAATATAAAGGTAAACATAAATATTAACAACGAGTCACTATTAGTGGATATGTTAAAATATGCCCATGTGTATATGAGTATGAAATTTTAGGTTCTATTTATACTTTGATGCAATTGTTGACAATTCTTCTTTAAAGTCTGTGTTATAGTATGTAAGTAATTGCGTGAAACATTCGTCCAAAATTATTCTGTAAATGAAACTATTGTACTTTTTTTCCTTTCCTTTCTAATAAGGAGAGAAATGTAATTATTACACTGCGGATTTTATGCACTTATCACATACACGATTATCTGCAACTTTTTATTTTTCGTCGAACCTTATGGAAATCTTAATAAGATACACAAATTTCTGTTTGACTCCCATTTTTGTGAGTTAATCCGCAAAATCTACATTTGCATAAACATCCGCAGTTTAGTAATAATACATACAATTGTATATATGTATGTTAAACATAGGTAATTATTTTACATATCTGCATAATCTTGCATACTCTTTTACATATTTGAATATATTTGCAAAATTATCTGATTCAAATTGTATTATTTAATTGTAGCAGCTTAATGTACTTGCAACTAAAATGAATATTAGAATTATATTTAAACATAATACATTTTCTTCACTTATGTAATGAAGTTTAAATAATATGAAGATATTTTATGTTTGTATACTAACCACTTCATTGAATGTAAATCCACGATTTGAAAATTTCGAGAAATCCTTGATAAGTACAGTCTTGATCAAGTCGGGATCATTTATAACCAAGATGGGGTTTGTTCTTAAATATACGCCAACCATGGGTTCTTCCTTTTTATATTTTGCGTAAATGGACGCAAAATAATTGCCCAACGACATCTTCGATAATGTTACTAGCATTAGATTACCAAAAAATAGTATCGGTTCAGGTCCACGAACACCTCGTTTTTTCCAAAAGTTGTACGGTAACACTAAATAGTAGTAGCAGAGAAGAACCGCCACAACAATGCCACACAAAATTTCTAAGGCTGCCATATTTGAGTAAAATGTTCGTCAACTGCACAACAACCACAGATCGGTTAATGGGACACTGTAAAACATCAGAAAACACATATTACGTGCAATTAGTTTATTTTATTTTATTTTAAACCTCGGATAAAAATATGAAAATGATATATGTAGTGTTTAAAATAATAGCAGTATTTTATCTGAACAGAATTGGAAACGGAGCAACTTCATTTTGAATTTTATTTATTCCAATTTATTTTCGGTGAATCTTTCACCTTCATGGAGGCACCAACGCGTAATATGGCTCGTAATAATAGTATTAGAATAATATTAGAATTTCTTCAATATGAACACCTAGAAGACAATGTAGAAACACAAATTTATGTGCTAATAGAACTGATTTAAAGGAAGATTTTTTTTGTTTAATCGTTTACTGTTCACGTTTACTGTTTCTTTGATAGATGATTTATAAAAAAAGACATAATACCATTAATTTCAGACATTATAGACTGTAATTATAGCTATGAACAGGTACTTCTACAAATAAATGAACGTTTTACGTTACAAATATTAAAATTATGACACCTTTAACATTTGAATAAAGGAAAAATTTCATTGAAAGAAATGCTCGTACAAGGACAATTACTGTTGTACACATCCATGTACAACAATTCCTTTTTCAATGAAAAGAATTAAACATCGACCTTGGCAATGTAAACGGCAAAGAAGTTGAATCATTAGTCATCATTACGACTTCTTACCTTATTATCACACCCGTGAGATCTCATAATACATATTTGGTAATAAGGATTGAAGTGTAATTTGCCATGACAAAGTAGTAAACATAAAGTCAATAATCACTTAACCACTGTCTTACTGTTAAAACTTTCGTAACCCCTGACGTAGTGTTACGTCATTTTAAAATTTATAACTGTTTAACATTTTATATTTATAGAGAGCCAAATGACTTTATATTTTGTATTTACGATAACAGCAGCGATCTAATAATAAATTGATTTTGAATTTATCAACGTGAACGTTTGAACAGAGTTAAAAAGAAGTTTGATCCAAAAGTGAAACAAATTTGTTCACGTAAGTTTTGGTACTAAACAAAGGAAACTTCAAAACATGCGTTGCTCTCCTCTCATTTTCAGTCTAGGTGACATATCCTTTATTTGCAAATAAACTTCTACGTAATCCTTTACGTTAATCCTTTACGTAACGGCAACTGCTCCAGAAATTAATTTTGTTCTTATGTAAATATATTTCATTATATTTTTATTCAAAAAAAAAACATTACCTACATATAAAGGATGTCCCAAAAAGATGGGACAATCCACTACATGGATATTCCTCATGCAAATACAAACCAAAAAGTCCTTTACCTTTTTCGTAATCTGACACTCCATTTTCGGGATATGTATTACTCTTGAGCCAGTGTGTATTAAGTCACACTTTTTAAACTTCAGAAGAGAGCAAATCAAAGATGCAAAATCCTTGTAACTTTGGGACCGTGCGATAAGAACTGAACGAGAAACAATCGATATCTTCGAACTATTAAATAGACTTAAAACAAATCTGGATGTGTAGAAATGGTGAACATTGCATTAAGTCTCCTATCTGATGGTATTTACACTGTTTGGTTCGAAACAAGACGTAGACTTAATATCATTTTTACACTATTGTATTAAAAACTAACCGACCTAGAGCAAAATAATTTTTACTATCGGAAATAACGAAAATTTTTACATAGGAAACATGTAAAATGTGATTATTTTTCAAAAGTGTACTTATTACACTCTGGTATCCAGATATGGATGTCTGCGCATCGAGTTCACGTGACTTTTACAATACTAAAACACAACGGGCACTGTTATCTGACCCTACATAGTACTGCAAGTAACATGTTTATGGTCAGGGCTGTTTCGGGCGGGGGTGCAAAAGGTACCCCCGCACATGGGCGGCCAAACCCAGGGGCGGCCGCAAATCATTTATTATATGTATAAGTTCAGCTAGTAAAAATAACAATCAAGACTTTTTTTATGATTCTGAAAATTTGAGACAAATAGAATTCAATCCAATTAATTTTATATATAATTTTCGTAACACTACTCGTATACATATTAGAATGAACTACCTTTATATTCTTAACTATATTCTCTATCGGCTGAAGTAAAATTCTATCAATATTTTAATGTTTACTAAACTAGAATACCGTTTACAAGTCTCAGCACTATTATTATAGATTATTTGACGATTATTTTATATACATATACCTACTCATTATACATGCAGGGTAGTGCAAAAATAGGGTTCGGACTGTTAAGGGTAGATAGTACCCGCCAAATGAAGGAACGAAAAAAGTTTGAAATTAATATTTGAAAGTTATAAACAATTTTCCACTCTGGTTAAAGCGAATGACTTGCACGCTTTGAGAAGCCGAGGAAATAATATGCTGTACAGCCAAGTACGCAATTGAATGGTGGGTGGAAATTAAGGGACATGTAGCAAATATTGTATAATCACAAGGAGAAGAGATACTAAGACAATCCACTGTTTTTACGTAGTGCAATTCCCAAAGCGAGCAAGCCACTCGCTTCAACCAAAACGAAAAATTGTTTATAACTTAAAAATGTTAATTTTTCGATCCATATTCGTTAAGAATTTTTACTTCCATTTGACAAGTACTATCTACTCTTAAAGTTTAAATCCACCACTTTTTTTATTACCACCCTGTATAAAAATTGACTTATTTACTTTCTATTTATCTAATCACAAGCTAGATTAGGTAAATTTCATTGTAAATGCGAACTATATTAAAAGTAAAACGTATATTCCAATTTTTTGTAGACACAATACAAAATGATAAAAAAATTGAAGGGTGTATAAAAGATTTGATTATTCTTGAAAATGTAATAGCTTGTTCCCAATGAATCCAATTGCTTGAAAAATTTAATTACGTCTTACGCATATTCAAGAATTATAATAAGTGAACCAGGTAATTATAAAAATGTGTCTAAAAAATTTTAGTCACAATGAATTAAATCAGAATTCTGATCTGGCTGCTATTTGACAGATATGCCGACTGTATGTATCGTTATATACATTCATATTTTTATGGATTAATTTATTAAACCGAAATTATGTTGTTTCGTTTCTAAAAGGTTTTGTCAAGTCCAAAATAATTAAAATCGCAATAATCTTTACGAAAGTTTTTACTATATCGTGTTTTCCATTTTCGTATTTAAGATGAGTATATAAATTCCACAGTCTATTCATAAAGGTAGAGTGATGAATATGATGCAAATCACTTGAAGAAAGTAATGGCAAAACCACCTTGAACGAACAACTGATCTCCCGTTAATGGCAGATTATACTAAAAATAACATTAAAGGAAGAAAACATTTAAAATTCTTAGCTGTCGATTTCATCAAATATTTATTATAATTCTCTTTAATTGTACAAATTTTTACAATATAGTCATTATCAATTTATTCATCAAAATCACTCACTGTTTAATGGAAATAAATATGACGTCTAAAAAACAAATAGTTGAAAATGTAAATATACATACGTATACGGATTGTTGGTTGTGAGGACCGTAAAATATTTTCTGCATCTCCTCTAATGATATTGTATCGTGATGTTTTAAAAATACTCTTAAACTGTATTATAAATATTAATTGCTATTAAATTATGATTTTATAATATTATTAAACACAATGTTTCCTGTGTTCAACAAATTAAATACACTTGTCCTCTGATACACTAAAGAGACACTAAAGCAAGTCACGATGAACCAGTTTAAATTGATTAACAACCTGATCACACTTTATTACTGTACTAACTCTGATTTAGCATTTTCAGTTATACACTCTTCAATCAACACACGAGAATTAATATTATATCACGAATAGAAACAAAATAATTAGAATCCGTAATGAACTGTGTGAATATGTAGACTGTGGTTGATGTTCATGAAATAATTCACATTTATGTTAATATGTTGAGTCACTGAATCAGATATGAAACAAGAATTTGTATCTTTTATTTACTCGAGTGTCGTATAAAAGCATGGAATTCGTATTTTATGCAGAAAGTAAAGAGCATTCGACGAAACACAATTGCAAGACAGGTAAGGCATACGGAGCACCTACCTGAAACACTGTTATTTACGATCACTTCGGCACGAAATATCTAGGACGGTACAGGTGAGAAGACGATCTGAAACACTCTGGCTACTGATCACAGATTGTGGCAAGTTATAGTTGCGGATTAACAGACGCGGTCGCGTCTGGAAGCTAATTCCCTCTCCACTCTCTGCAGGCATATGAGCGACCGTGTATCTACACAGGAACGCACTCAATCCCACAGCTATTTTAGCCTCTTATACAGTAAACGAGACTATGTAATTACTAAACGTCACGATAAAGTAGCGTTTTCTCAGCCACAGACAATAAAGAAGTCTCAGTGTTTAGCTGTGATTACATAAACATGCATATGTGTTCCTTGTTCCTTCTATGTATCAAATCCTTTCTGCCTCGATGTGAGACTATTTTTCGGAACACTGGTTGTATGATTGCCTACTAATGTGACTAAATTCACCGACGAATTAATCGTTGGGAAAGGTGCGAAAGTTCAGGTAGAAATTTCATTATAGATTTACTAAACCAACAACTTGGATATTTCGTGTTCAATAATTTAATTTATATTTATCCGATTTTTATGATTTATATATCCGAAAATAATATTATACCTACTTACATAATATATAATGTAAATATAATATTATTTCCGTAATATACAGTAAATTATTCATATCATTAAATACGGAAATAATGCTAGAGATTTTTTAGAGAACTCTGTTATCATGTAAATAACAGAGATACGCAAATTCAATATTCGGGTAAAGAATTGCGAATAACAAATAAAAAATAAAAATATAGGTACTACACCATTCTTAATTGATCGAACGTGGAAACTCTAATTTTTATAATAAAGTGATACTTCTTCTCTAATGAAGAGAC